TTCATTTGTTCGTTCATTCATTCATTCATTCATTCATTCACTCATTCATGTCATCAAAATTATCATAGTTTTAAATTTTACCCATCCATCCATCCATCCATCCATTCATCCATCCATCCATTCATCTGTCCATCTAGTATTTCATCGTGATAAAAAAAGTAATGTTTTATGCATGCTGACGCACACAGTTGGCTAAGTACACTAACGAGTATGTGTGTTTGTATGTTTGGTTGTATGTATGTATGTTTGTTTGTATGTATGTTTGTGTGCTTGTTGTACACACAGAGGCACACATACAAACACACATACAAAGTTTTACTGCCGGTAAGAGGGTCATACAATTTTTCTCGGAAATTATTTTAATACCATGCCCGGGGTTTGCATTATTTTTTGTTCTATGTTCCTGTATTTATTTATTTATCTTTGTTCATTTGTTCGTACCTTCGATTGTTTATTTTTTTTTGGTTGTATCTTTACACATACAGAACACACACACACACACACGCCCACACACACACATACATACATACAAAAAAAATGACGATGATGATGATGATGATGATGGTTATTCAAGGCCGGTGATGATGATGATGATGATGTTTGAAGAGAATTTTCTAATTACAAAGCAATTTTTTAATTAAGAAAATAATTTAAAATAATCATTTTCGTCTGTCTTTTGGTCATCATCATCGTCTTCATCATCATCATCATCGTCGTCTTCTTCATCATCACAACCAGCATTGTTTCAAATAGCATCTTGCACATTGCATGTGGAGGTTCTTGTAAGGGGATGATGGAAAATATTCAATTCGAAATTATTTAACTTGTTGTTGTAGTAGTAGTAGTTGTTGTTGCTGTTGTTGTTGTTTTTGATGTTGTAGTTGTTGCTATTGTTGATGAAGATGATGTTGATCAACAACAACAACAACAATATAAAAAACCAAACTACAACACCGTAATGTTAAAAACATCAACAACAAGTACAACAACAACTACTACCACAAGAGCATAGCAAACATAGACAACATAATTCTAAGAAACAACAACATGGATTGAAAAATAACGCAACAAAATATCGATTTTTGCTCCGCACCAATTGCAAACGTAAAAGTAGTTGTTGTTTTTGTTGCTGTTGTTGTTTTTGTTGCTGCTGTTGTTGTTTTTGTTGCTGTTGTTGTTGTTTTTGTTGCTGTTGTTGTTGTCGTCGTTGTTGTTGTTGTTGTTGTAGTTGTTTTTGTTGTTGATGTTGTTGTTGTGGTCAAAAGTGATGATGTTGAAGATTTTGAAGACAGAAGATCCAGGAAATATCCCGTGTTTTGAAGTTTTATGAAGTTTTTTGTTATTATTTCTATTATTTCGCTGCAGTTGTTATTTTCAACACGAACGGACGAACGAACGAATGAGCGAACGAACGAACGTACGAACACATGAATGAACAAACAAATGAACACGAAAACAAACAATAAAATGGATGAACGAATAAATGAACGATCGACTAAACAAATAAAAACATTGAAGAATGAACAAATGATTGAACAAACGAACCGCCGAACAAGCAAACAATTGAATGAACGAATGAATGAACGAATGAATAAGTAAATGAAGGAATGAAGTTGTCCTAACCCCGAATTAATGTTGAATAAGATGTTTGTATCCGCGTGTGCGCACAGATACTATCAATGGATGTTTTTCCAATGCAGTGACCTGTTTGTTTATGTTTGTTTGTATGTTTGTATGTTTGTTTGTATGTTTGTATGTTTGTTTGTTTATGTTTGTTTGTTTGTATGTTTGTTTGTTTGTATGTTTGTCTGTATGTTTGTATGTGTGTGCATTAATTATGTCATAGAAATGTTCACAAATCTCAAAATAATCTAAATTTAAAAAAAAATAATTTTCTAAATTTTTAACTTTAATTAATTTTTCTTCAATTTCAGAATTTTCTTTAATTTCAGAATGAAAAAATAATAAAGTTTAAAGAAAATACAAACACATACAAACATACACACCAACATACACACCAACATACAAACATACATACAAACATACACACCAACATACACACCAACATACAAACATACACACCAACATACACACCAACATACAAACATACATACAAACATACACACCAACATAACAACATAACAACACGCATACAAAACATGCAAACTAGTAATAATAAAACAAAGTCTGACTTAGTAAGAATGTGACAAACCATGCGAACTCGTCATGCATGGGTTGCTAATCGAAAAAATTGTATGTGTTTGTGTGTTTGTGTCTCTGTGTGTGTGGGTCTGTGTGTCTGTGTGTGTGTCATTTTGTTGAAACATTTCTTTATTAATTTTTGTATACATTTTCTGCCTGTATTCATTTGCAAGGAGCAATTTGCGTGATTAAGCGCCCCCTGTATTGTCTGCTCGTATTTTTAAATCATACATTCAACTTTTTTTTTTTCGCTCGCCTATCCAAAACATTCTTACATTTCTTGAAAGTTTCAGCCACATTTTTCCTTGAAAATGCGTGTGTTCGTTTGTTTGTTTGCGTGAGTGAGTGTATGTCGTTTTGTTTGTTTGTATGTCTGTTTTTGTGTATGTGCTGGTTGGTTTGTATGTGTGTTTGTTTGCCTCTGTGTGTGTGTGTGAGTGTGAATGTTTTCGGCGGGCGTGCATAAATTGAGTGGAGAGTCTTAGAAGATAAGTGACAATGAATCGCATTTAATTCGAATGTAATGTGTTGGTCGTTCATCAATTATTCGATTCTCTCTACAACCTCCCTACACAGGCCTTCATTTGCAAGACTCTAAATCAGCCAGGTTATAATCCTGATACATACACACCTACGCACACACATACACACACATACACGCACATACAAACACATACACGCACACGCACACACATACACGCACACGCACACACATACATACATAACACACACCTAATTAATTAATAACAACAACATGCAACACTAAGCAACAATATACATAACAACACAAACTGACACTCAAAAATATGCATATAAACAAACTTAATTATGCATACAAAAGTACAAATTTATATACAAACAAACAAACAAACACGCAAACAGACACACAAACAAACACATACACACGTGCACAAACATACAACGAGAACGACACCACCACCAAAGACAATTAATTGATTTACGATTGCAAAAGCAATAAATTATCTTTGCAATGAGTTCTTTTGTTTACGTTTGTCATTAGCAACGGTTGCTAGGCAGTTTGTTGTCACTAGAAACGGTTGCTAGGCGGAAGATGATGTGCTGCTGTTGTCATGGCAACTAGCTGGAAAGATTGTTGTTGTTGTTGTTGGTCGCAATGATTCTTTGTGGAGCGAGGTTTCTGATGGGAATGTGACCCTCTCTCGTGATTATGGTTTTTGTCGCGAGTTTTCTAATTATTATTCATACGATAATTAATATGCACGAGCTAATTAATATTCATAAACTAATTAATATTCAAGCACTGATAAATATTCATGCACTGATAAATATCGATGTTATCTTGTGTATGGGGGATGATTTATAGGCTCAGTGAGAGAATTGGTTTTTCGTTAGGTGATGTTTTGTTAATTATTTCTTTCGCTACTTTCTTATCTGTCGTTCGTTTTTTGTGTTTTGTATGTATGTTTGTATGTATGTTTGTATGTATGTTTGTATGTATGTTTGTATGTATGTTTGCATATATGTTTTGTATGTTTGTTTTTATATAAGTATGTTTATTTTCATGTATTTCTGTTACTATATTTTTGTGTTTTTTTTTTTTTTTTACAGAACCAAGACATTTTGAGCTTCTAAATTTGTTATACAATCTCGTTTAAGTACTATAAACTATCAGGAAACAATTGTGTAAAATAAAAATGCATGCACAAACTCACACACACACATACACAGACCCACACAGACACACACACACACACACATACAAACAGGCTTACATAACCGGTAGAAAACACGCTACGCAAAACTTGCGATCAATACATACATACATACATACATACATACATACATGCATACATACATACATACATACATACATACATACATACATATTTCTGTATTCGAGTAGTGAGAACAAACAGTTCAATGTAATTCAGTTTTTGAACTTTCAGGTATTTGAAATTGTTTGTTTTTTTCATTTGCATGTATGATTGTTCGTTCGTTCGTTCGTTCGTTTGTTTGTTTGTTTGCTTTGTTTGTTTATTACGTGTGTTTATTTGTATAATATCACTTTGAAGTTAGAATTGTTGAAATAATTTTGAAATTATGTGTATCTTTTGCACCCGTCAGCATAATGTTTTTTATCTTTATGTATATGTGTGTTGTGCGCTAGTTTGCTTGTGTGTGTATGTTTGTTTGTTTGTTTGTGTGTGTGTGTGTGTGTGTGCGTGCAAGCCTATGCGTGTGTGACTTCAACAAAATCAAATTTATAATTAATAAAATTCCTATGAAAAGAACTACAAAGAAATTGAAAAGTTCCAAAATAAAACTTATGAATATAGATGAGCTTTCGAACAAAAACGCGCAGAGAGGAAAAAGATTTTCTTGACAAATTCTGAGCCTGCATGCAATATTCATGCCCCACTTTTCGCAAGCAAGCAAGTAAACGAACGAACGAACGAACGAACGAACGAACGAACGAACGAACGAACAAACACTTAAAACAAACAACAAAATGTTGATTTGTGCTTTTTTTAATAAAAGCAAATGTTGTAAAGAAACAACTAGAGCAGCAGCAATAAAGTACAATCTTTATTTTCTTGGGTGTTGTTTAAACCAACAAAGCAAACAGTCGATAAAACAATGGAACGCCTTTTTGACACATAAGAACAATTCAATATAACTACTACACGCACACACACACACACACACACACATGCACACATAAAAAATATTTGATTACATAAAGAATTGTTGAAAAAATTTTGTATGTATAAAAATTTTTATGAAATTTTCGTTTGTTTTATAACAATAATATAAAATCATAGACACGAAGACATGGATATTAAATAATGTGTATGTGTGTGTCTGTGTGTGTGTGTGTGTGTGTGTGTGTGTGTGTGTGTGTGTGTGTGTGTGTGTGTGTGTGTGTGTGTGTGTGTGTGTGTGTGTGTGTGTGTGTGTGTGTCTGTGTGTGCATAACAAACATTTCTTCGAAGTTGAAATATTTTAAAAAATTAATGAGAAAACATAGAAAAATGGATTGAAAACTTTAAAGTCGGTGAAAATTGTTGCGAAAATGTTGTGAGTAATATCGCGAGGAAAACAAACCAACAACAACAACAAACAGAAACAACAAACAACCACAACAACCTCCTCCTCATCAATAACAACAACAAAAACCACAACAACACCAAATAACATCATCATCATCAACAGCTCCGGACATCAGTCATGAATTATGCATCATGCAAATTATAAACAAAATATCACTACTATT